TGGTACATTTAACTGTACTTAAAAAACTTAGATATGGAAAAGAAAAAAAAGTGCTTTAGAGTCGGAAAGTAAACTATGAAAGAGCGCTTGTAACATATGGAAGAAAGGGGGGAGTTTTTTGTTTTTACTAATATTTAAAGGCTTAAATCAACAACTAAAAGACTGGAGATGTAACTCAGAGATAGAATGCTTGAGGCTCTGGATTTGATCCCTAGTACTACAAAACAAAAACAAATCAACAACTAAAAGGAATAATGAGTAATTTGTTAAAGAAGTCATTTCAAGTGACTCTGAATACTTGAAAAGATACTTTACCTTAGTTAAAAAAAAAAAAAAGCAAAACCAGTGTGATCTTTTACCATCTGTCATATTCAGCTAAGATTGATAAATTATAATCTTTGTAAAGGTATAGGGAAAGTGTACTGTTGGTGACATAATTATCTCAGCTTTTATGAAGGACATTTTTCTATAACCTGTTAACCTTTTGACACTCCTATTCTTTGATCCAGCAGTTCCATTTCTAGGATTTTAGCTTGTAGAAGCCCATATAACCAGACAGATAATATATGGATAAAGATGCTCTTTGGAGTGTTGTTTGTAGTACTGTAAAGTTTGTAATAACACAAGTAGAGGGCTAGTTGAGTTTTTCTCATTCCTTAGACTAAAGGTTGATTTGAACTATATTGTATATAGAATAAAATGTATTATGTACATCATGTGTACTAAATATCTTTCTAAAAATCTGAAATGTTATGAGATGTATTGTTCTAAAGGTCTCAGATAAAGGATTTTCTTAATTAAAAGAGAAAAAGGCAAACTATGAAATAGTGTCACATTCCAGTTTTCAGGTTAGTATGATGTTAGGATGGGAATAGGAAAAAATAATACTTCATATATTCCCACATTTAACAGTCATTATTTGAGGACATAGTAATGTCTCTAATTTTTTCTTAAGTGAAAATTAATATGAGTTTGGGGCTGGGATTGTGGCTCAGTGATAGAGTGCTCACCTAGTATGCATAAGGCACTGGGTTCGATCCTCAGCACCACATAAATAAAGAATAAAGATATTATGTCAACCTAAAACTAAAAAATAAATATTAAAGAAAAGAAAATTAATACAAGTTTAAGTAGACATAGCAGAAGTGTGGATAAGGTGAAAATTTCTCCTGTCTCTGAAGTGTTGTCATATCTCAGTTCCTTTTGTAATGAACTGGATAATATCTGTTTCTACAACTAAAAACTGAGCCCTTAAGGAAGATGGATGTGAGTTTTATATTTTCTTTGTATCTTCAGAACTTTTGGTTCCATCCCTTTCTTGTTTCTGAACAGAGTCCTTTTGAGGTCTGTCTTTGTTGTTTTATTACTGTAACAGAATGCCTAAGACTGGGTAATTTATAATGAAAATAAATTTTCTTACGGTTCTGAAAGCTGGGAAGTCCAAGGTTGAGGGTCCTGTAGCTGGTAAGGATCTTTGTGCTGCATCATTCTACAGTGGAAGGATGAAAGGGGAAGAGCACATGAGATCAAGATTGTTAAGAGAGAGGGACTGCTTTTATGACTTGTTCTTGGGATAAATTACTACTAGTGAGATAACAACATTAATCTCTTCTTGAGGGCAGAGTCCTCAAGACTGAATTACTTTTTTAGAGACCTCATCTCCCAACACTATTGCATTGGGTGTCAAGTTTCCAATATGTAAACTTTAGGGAATATATTAAAACCATAGGCCTAATATCCCCCCTCACTGCCCCCCCGCCCCATGAGGCTATATTAAAAGCTGAAGCTAAAGGAGTTCAGGATTCATGTTCCTTTTAAGCCTCTGAAACAAGATTCTGGGACCATACTAGCACTAAGCCTATGTTCTTCATTGTGCTAACTTTGATAGATTGAAAATTTAATAGTTGGGTATGATTGCTATTTTGAGATTTCTTCCTTTTCATGTTTGGACATGATTGATTATGTTTTCTCCTATTCCCTCCAATATTGGAAATTGAACCCAGGGCCTGAGCATGCTAGGCCAAGCGCTATACCACTGAGCAGTGTCCTTGGCCCTTGACTGTCTTATTTAAAGTACAGATGTGTCTCTAGTGATGATCTAACTTATATTGATCCTCCTTATAGGTGGTGGAAAGCTTTAACTCTTCTCAGGTGTACTCAGCCTATTTCAGGAGGACCTCCACTTGATGTTTGGTGTCCTTTCTTCCCATTGTCACAGCTCAATCACAAATAATTTTATTGCAGTTAGGTTGTTATATTTAACTTTCTTGTGAGGGAGAGTAGCAAGTGTTAGGTACTGGACTGGGGATACTTTGGAAGTACCAAAACAACTGTATGAAAAATGAAGGGAACTAGATCTTCCTATTTTTTTTTTTTAAACTTTGGTACAGATTCTGTATGTCAGTTTGTTATAAAGAATTTAACATTCAGTCTTTGTCCAAAAAACAATTCTGTAATTCATGTAGCTCAAATCTGTTGTCAGTTTCCACTGCCTAAGAACTGTAAAGCCGTAAGGCAGGTACTGTTTATCTGCAGTTTTTCTGTGGGATGAATTCACCATTCCTAGAATTCAGCATTTATCAAATAGAATTATTTGGTTTGGTAATCTCAGAGTCTACCTACCTTTCTTCCTTTTCTTTCTTGTGCTTTTATTCCTTTATTGTAATTTCTTAAACTTGAGACTTTGTTTGGATTTCAATGGTTTTCCCATTAATGTCCTCTTTTTTTTTTCCCCCAGGATCCGATTCTAAGCACCATTCAGTTATCATGTCTTCAGTTTTCTCTGACTTAGAACAGTTTCTTAGTCTTTTCTTGTTTTGCATGATCTTAAAAGTCTTGAGGAATACTGGCTGAGTATCCTATAGAATGTCTCCTAATTTGGAGTTTTCTGTTTTACTCAAGATTAGACTGGGATTATGGGTTTTTAGAATGAATACTGGAGAGATGAAGTTCCTTTCTTGTCACACATTATATTATGTATATATGGTGTCCATCTGATGTCACTGATGGTGTTAACCCTCTTCACTCAGTTCAGATAGTATTTTTCAGGTTTTTCCACTGTGAAGTTAACGTTTTCCCATTTCTGTTCTATAGAAGTAGTGACTAAATATTGTATTCTCCATGGGGAAAGAAGAGGTAGAGTTAAGTTTTACCTTCCATGGGGAGAAGTAGCCGCATGAATTATTTTGAATTCTTCTATAAGATTTTTTTCCCCTAATTTATTTAATATTTAATCACTTGTTTATATCAGTATGGAACTATGCAAATTTCTAATTTGGCTTTTAATCCAATGCTGTTTTACTTATTTTATTCCTCCTGTTGATCCAACTTTGGCCATTAGGAGCTTTTAGAAGTTGGTTCCTGTGTCTCTTCACATGTTTATGTCATTTCTGACTCTACAAGATACTTTGGGCTCATCTTTTTTTTTTTTTTCCTTGTCCCAAGTCTTAGAATCATTCATTACCCCTAAGAATTCTGGTTCTTTTTATTGCAAAATGGTGTTTAAAAACAAGGTGATGCTGGAATTGCTTGTTGTTACTGGGATGTTATTGGTGATTGCCTTTTCAGTACCCAATTCCTCCCTCCTTCCCTCCCTCCATTCCTCCCTCCCTTCTTTTCTTCCTTTCCTCCTCTTCCTCTTTTCTTCTTCTCTCTCTTTTCCCCTCCTCTCTTTTCCTTTAGAAAATTATGAAAAATCTATCTTGAACAATTGAACAATTATCAATGAGTGGTTAGTTTTGCTTTCATTTACATGACATCTCTCTCCATTGACGACCCCCGCCATTATTTGAAGTAAATCCCAGTCACTGTATTAGTTCATCTGTAAATATTTCATCTGTTTTTATCTCTTGAAAATAGAATTTCTTTACACACTTCTTCTTTTTTTTTTTTTTGAGATGGCTGTCTCTGTATATGGAACTATAGATGTGCACCACTGTGTACAGCTAAATATAGTCTTAGATTATAGTAGATACAGTAGAAAATATGTAAACATAGAACTTGACCACCTTTCATAATTATAATTTTTAAATTATAAAAAAATATAAAAATTATAATTTTTAAATTATAATTTTTAAATTATATCTTGATCTGATATAATTTATAAATTATATCAGATCAAGATATAGAACATTTCCAGCCCCCTAGAAGGTACTCCAATTACTATTGAGGATTTTTGTAAGAAGCTTTTAAAAAAACTAACATAACCACAATACCATTATAGTACCTAATCCCCACCCCTCCATGCTTTCAGTGCTGAGGAATTAACCTAGGCCCTCAAGCATGTTAGGAAAACCTATAAGTTTTATTGTTATTTCTTACAGTCAAATATCTAGTCATTTATATAGGTTCCACTCGCCCCCATCTACCTACCTACCCTTTTTCTTCAAACCAGTGTACCTACCTCTGTGGTACACTGGTTTGAAGAAACAGGGTTACTTGCTCTGAAGTTTATCCCACAGTCTGGGTTTTACTGAGCACATCCCCATGGTCTAACCTGACATGTTTCTCACAGTGGCTTTTTTGAGGAAAACCTTTTCTCACTTTCTAGTTTAGTAACCCTAACATAGTAATGGGCACTGATTCTATCTTTGGAGAAATTTAATCAGTAAGATGGTTTTACCAAAGATCTGTTGTCCCTGACATCTGATTAAAGTTTTCTGCCTTGCTTGGCTAGCCAGGTCTAGAAGATTCCTTCAAAAATCCTGTATCCTTTCCTTAAGAAAGACTGAATATCTGTGTGTAGAAGAGAATTTAGTTATTCCTAGCTTTGTTTTTCTCCTTTCTGGAGATAAATGAACAGGACAGTTGTAAGAGCACAGTTAGCTGAGAGATCCTTTTAATGTTGTTTTGTAGCTGTGTCATAATCATCTGTATACAAGCCAAGCTTTGATTAATTTCTGACCAAAGGTTCCATAGTACAGAAAAAAGGATTAAAGTATAAAAATAGTCTTGGTTGTATTTGATTTGCCAAGTTCTTTTTTTTTCTCTTTATATTATAGATCAGCTTGAACGGGTCTTTTTACGACTTGGCCATGCTGAAACAGATGAACAATTACAGAATATTATATCTAAATTTCTTCCTCCTGTTTTGCTCAAATTGTCCAGTACCCAAGAAGGAGTACGGAAAAAGGTAAGCATGTTGGGACAGTTGGGGGAATTAAATAGTGAATAAATGATCATGTATTATGAAGTGAGTTTTCCATGCCCTTTGTTGAAATCCAAGTTTGTGATCCTAATGGCTTTTCAAAATGGAAAGTAAGTTTAGAACCAGCTTTCATGATTCAAAAGTAATTTGTGTGCTTAGCACAGCTGTGGTTAGCACCAGCTGTACAATTGTGGTAGGTAATTTAATTGATAATTTTTCTGGTCTGTAAAGAGGCATGGTCTGATATTCATGCCCTTAATTCTAGTGTGAAAGGGGACAAAAATATTCTAATCATTTGGATGACAGAGAATATAACCTTAATTAAAGGTAAGCAAATAAAATTTTAAAAGCAAAAATTATTATGTAGTTCCAGTTTAAGATTATGAAAATACTATTTCAAAAAGCTAGATAACTGACATCAATATTTTAAAACCAACTTCTATAATGAACATTTTCCCCTTTTGATTTATATAATATTTCATTAGGATTATTCTGCTATATTTATAATAGGCCTTCCAGTCTTTGAATTATCATTTGGTTTCATCCCTTAGGACATTTTAAGTGGTTGGCAGTGACTTCTTGGAGTTCTTTCCTGAGGATTCTGAGGCATGATTTAGGTTCTGTGGGGGAAAGAGTATCATTAAGAATGTCTATTATGGAGCTGGGGATGTGGCTCAAGCGGTAGCACGCTCGCCTGGCATGCATGTGACCCGGGTTCGATCCTCAGCACCATATACAAACAAAGATGTTGTGTCCACCGAAAACTAAAAAAAAAACAATAAATAAAAAATTCTCTCTCTCTCTCTCTCTCTCTCTTTAAAAAAAAAAAAGAATGTCTATTATGTCTGCAGGAAAAAATGGATATTCTTGTTACATATTTGACATGCCTTCTATTAATCATATTCTTCGCTGAGATAGAGGGGTATTTATTTTGTCATATTACTTTCCTATTTAAAATCCTTCTATGACTTTCCTACCCTCAGGATAGCAAGGTCTAAAGGCCCAACTTGATGTCTGTTTACTTAGTTTTTTCAGTCTCTTTTACTGAGTGTCAGTCGTCTTCATGTCAGGAGTAAGGGGTATGTTGGTGAGTGAAAGAAACCCCTAGTTGGGGAGACCACTAGCAAAAAAATCAGTTAGTAATACATGCTAAGATGGAAAAATAAAGGATTAAATAAAAGAATGTATTTGGGGACATGATTTAGAATGAGTGTGGAATGGAGGGGTGGCCTTTTGGTGTGTAGAAATTAGCCAGGCTGAGAGATGGGAGGACCATTAAAGACAGATATGCTCCATGCAGGGGTTCAAAACTAGTGTGATACCTTTATGGAATTACGGAAGGCCACAGTGGTGCCCCTGGTGGACATGGAAGAGCAATAGAGGGAACCAGGATTCTAGGAAGCCCTGATTTGAAAGGGTGTTAATGGTAGTGATGCAGTCACCCTGGATGTTGAAGGAAGCTTGGAGCGGAGACTAAGAGTGGAGTCCAGAAGAATTACTAAGCAGGGAACTTTTGCATTAGTCCAGGCCAAGTATTTTCAGTAGTTTTAAAATCATTTACCTAGGATTTTTTTTCATTATATTGTGTCTTTTTATGGAAAATCATCCATCACTAATGCATCTATATGAGATTGTGTATCATTCATTTCTATAGTACTGTTTATCCTATTAACTTTCTTCCAAGTGGAGAAATTCCATTCTTATTTCCAATTTTATTGATTAATATTATCAAAGTTTTAATCTTATGGTTATTTTTAAAAAGAAACGCAACATTTAGGTTGATTTTTCTCCCTTTTTAAGATATTTTAAATTTTTATTCAAATTATTTGTTTTCTCATGAGATTATTTAATAATATACTGATGATTATTATGTGTCAGGAAAAGTGCTAAGGACTTTGTGAGGTTGGTATTTTATACATTTTACATATGAAGCTCTGGTTTGAAATGATAATAGACCACTTAAGGTCAGATAATGAGTGATTGAATCAGAATATGAACCCGGGGCTGTAACCTGTAAGGCTGGCCACCAAATATTTTTTTCATGAATTATAAAATATTTTTTAAAAAACTCAAAACCAACAACTACCTCAGCTTGTGAATTTATCTTTGATCGCTGTAATTATATTGATGTGCAGTATTTGGTTGTTTTGTTTTGACTTAATTATTAATTTATAAGAACATTGTTTTATTTTTTAAAGTTAAAAATTTGGTGCACTGTAATTATACATAATAGTGGGATTCATTTGTACATGCATATAACATAATTTGGTCAATTTCATTGCCCAGTACCTCTCCTTTCCCTCAAGAGCATTGTTTTAAATTTTTAAACATTGGATGTAAAATTTATTTTGGAGCCTAGTGTGCAAAAAGTTATGGTCTTTTAAATTTTTGTTTTTCACCTAGTGCTGGGGATAAAACCCAGGACCTTAATATAGGCTAAGCATGGGCTGCATCACAGAGCTATGCTCCCAGTTTGAAGTGTATTCTAATGTTCATAAGAAGCATTCTTCATAAGTCAAAAAGAATATTCCAGTTTGTGGAATATGGAGCTCAGAATGTCGTAAGGCTTCTCATCAGTAACATTGTGCTTTTATGCTTGAGAACCTGTCTTGGAGACTGGTTGTAAATTAGTAGTTACTGAATTATAACTTCCTATTGCTGCTAAACTGTTTTTCTGATTTTCCTCTTAGTTTTGATAATTTTTTTTAATTAGTTGTTGGTGGCCCTTTATTTATTTTTTTATGTGGTGCTGAGAATCGAACCCAGTGCCTCACACATGCTAGGCAAGCGCTCTACCACTGAGCCACAACCCCAGCCCCTAGTTTTGATAATTTTGGCTTGATGAATTTTAAAAAATTTGTTTTAATTAGTTATACATGACAGCAGAATGCATTTTGATTCATTGTACACAAATGAAACACAACTGTTCATTTCTCAGTACACAATGTAGAGTTGTACCATATGTGCAGTCATACATGTACCTAGTGCAGTGATATCCATCTCATTCCACCATTGGCTTGATAAATTTTGATGCAAAAGTTTAACATCTTTATTAGTAATTATAGTCTATTGTATGTTTTTTTTTTTTTTTTGTTAGAAGAAGGGCTTGAAAACTTCTGGAGCTGGGGTTGTGGCTCAGTGGTAGAGCTCTTGCCTAGCATGTGTGAGGCACTTGGTTCAATCCTCAGCACCACACAAATCAATAAAGGTCCATCAACAAGTAAAAAATACTGGAAGTGCAATCTAATAGCTGAAGTACCTGTTATATTTCATGCATGATGCTAGACTCTGACATATTTTCCTTTAATCTTCACAATAGCCTGTGAAATATTATCACCGGAGTTCTACAAATGGGAAAAAATGAACCCGAAATTAATATTTATAGCTTAAACTAGTGGATGTTTATGTAGCTATTATCTCAGTTTGTTTTAACAAAATAAATTATATAGTTTAGGCATTCTTATTATTCCTGTTTTATAGATTAAAAAAATGACTTAGAGAGGATAAGTAATTTGCCTTGGCACATGACTAACAATGAACTTTATAAATATGAGATAATTTCAGAATTAAACTGGTTTCTGCCAGATAATGCTTCTATGCAATGGTTAAACATGTTTATTCTTTAGCTTATGTATGAAAATTCAGTACATAAAAGGCCAATGAATGATGTAAGTAGAGGATAAAAGAATGACTGTAAAAGCAGTAATATAATTATTCTTGCACATTGTTTTGATTGTAGATGGTAGTCTCTTTTTTTTTTTTAATATACTTTTAGTTGTAGATGAACATACGCTATCTTTATTTTTATGTGGTGTCAGGGTCAAACCCTGTGCTTCACACATGGGAGGCAAATGCTTTACAATTGGGCTACAGCCCCAGCCTGATGGTAGTATCTTGATGCATATTTTCCTGTTCTTATTTTCTTTTTTTTTAAAGAGAGAGAGAGAGAGAGAATTTTTCATATTTATTTTTTAGTTTTCGGCGGACACAACATCTTTGTTTGTATGTGGTGTTGAGGATCGAACCCAGGCCACACGCATGCCAGGCGAGCGCGCTACCGCTTGAGCCACATCCCCAGCCCCTCCTGTTCTTATTTTCAAGTGTAACTATTTGGTCAGATTTTTAGAGTATGTGCAGTCATGTACTGATAATAATACCTTTTATAAATTACAGAACCAGTGTAATATTTGGTGTGCTTATTATTATTATTATGAAAAAATTTTTTTAGTTGTAGGTGGACCCAATATCTTTATTTATTTTATGTAGTGTTGAGGATCAAACCCAATGCCTCATGCGTGTAAGGCAAGTGCTGTACCACTGAGCTGTAACCCCAGCCTGTGTGCTTATTATTATATTGTTATTAATAAACAAAGGATATAGATATCGAACATAATGTCTTTTAATTGATGAAAGTAGAATTAATTTTACTGTAGTTTATTGACTTTTCAGTTGTGAAATTTTAGGTCTATAGTATTAATTTCATTTTGCATGTTAGACTTAACCAGGATATTATGCAAGGTAACTGGTAATTTGTGGATAAATTGGGTAAAAGAGAAATAAAAGTTTTCTCTTTCTATTAATATAGTATTAGTGTACATTTCCTATTAAAGAAACATTTTTATTTAGAATTCTACTGTACGGTTAGCTTTGTATATTCACACTCATCAGAATAGCTAAAAATTAAAGCCTGATCATACCCATTGTTGGCAAGGATATGGAACAACTGGAACTCTTATATACTATTGGTAGGAGTATGAAATAGTGAATTTACTTTGGAAAACTTTGGGAATGTGTACTGAAGCTGAGCATGTGCATACTCCATGACTAAAGGTTTTTTTGTGTTTATATACAACAAAAATATGTGTATATATATGCATCAAAAGTATGTGTCTGGGAATGTTCATATCAGCATTATTCACAATAGCCTAAACCTGGAAATAATTGAATTTTTACGATAGAGGAAACTATAAATAGTAGTATTTTCGTATTAGAGCAATGAAAGTGAACTACTATGAGCAACAATGTGGATGACTCTCAAATATAATGTAGAGAGAAAAAAAAATCCAGACAAGAAGTTCATCTTACAATGATTTTGTTCCACTCATCTTTTGCTGTGACAAATACTTGAAAAGAACAACTTAAAGGAGGGGAGGTTTACTTGGGGTGCCAGTCCATAAATAGTTGTCTCCTTTCCTCTGGGTCCAGGGTGAAACAGCTCATCATGGTGGAAAGGCCCAGCAGAGGAAAGCTGCTCAGCTCATGAGGGAGTCAGGAAGAAGAGAGAGGGGAGTGGGGAAGGGGCCTTAGGGAAGATGAACCTTTCCGGGACTTGCCCCAGTATCCCATCTCCTCTAGCCATATCCACCAGCCTACATTAACCACCTAGTTAGTCCACTCAAATTAGCATGAACTGATTAGGTTATAGCTCTCACAATCTGATCATTTCACCTCTAAGTATTCCTGCATTAACAGGAGCTTTTGAGGAGACATCTTATAAACAAACCATAATAGATTCCATTTTTGCAAAATTGAAAGTGATTATAGAATTCAGGGAAGTGATACCTTAAGGAGGAGGACCTAGTGACTTGGAGGAGTAAAGAGTTACAGGGCTGGTGTTTATATAGATGTGTTTATTTTGTATTTTAGGTATATAATTCAGTTAAGTTTATATTAACCATCAAACTGAATGAATAATAAGGAAAAATGATTAAATAAGGTCAAAACACTGTATACCCTAGACCTAGCAATTATGTAAGTTTACTGACAGAGTTTAACTGTTCTCTATTTGGACAGGTAAAGAATTAGTTCAGCTGGTTTCTCAATTTTTCTGAGTTTTATAGATGATTCCAGACAATGTATAAGCAAATTTAGGAAATTCATCAATATTTAAAGTGATAATATTGCTAGAAGAAAATTAAGTAATTAATCTATTTAAAATTCCAAGTAAGTTTATCATAAAAAAGAAAGTATAATTATGGACATGATTGTCACCATCAGTAATAATTTTCCATAGAGTCCTTTTAGGAATCAGTCTAAATTAGAAGGTTAGAAGAGGGAGTTTTCCTTTAGCCTTATCCCTCCTGATTTCTCTTGTATACAGGTGGTAAGTTTGGATGAAGTGTGAATAGCAATTCAAGTTTCAAAGTTCCTGTATGTTATCATCATGTCTTATACTGTAGCTTAACTCGTGCTCAAATATCAATGTTTGAAAAAGTTTAGAAATTGGACCCTGGAATCATATCTTGATTGTGCCACTCCCTGGTTTAGTATCCTTGTACAAGTAAATTTACTTCCCTGAAGCTTCATCTCTAAGATAGGAATGATAATACCACTTCATTGGTTGTTGTGAGATCTTAAAGGACTATATAGTAGTATGCACAAGTGCAGAATGCATTAGAAAAACAACTTGATAAATGTTAGCTAATATGATTTTTATCATTCTTTTAATAAGCATTGATTATATGTTTGTTTTTATTTTTATACATATTTACTTGCTTTATTATTGCTCTAGATTTCTTTGAACTTTTGTTGTCACTTGTGAACATCCTACAGCTTTCATTCATGCTTGCTTTGAGAATAGGGCACAAATTTCAGAAATGATAGAGAATAGTGTGGACCTGACCTTCCAGAATAGTTATCTTAAACTTGAGTCTTTGGTGAGGCTTTTAAAAAATATATTATTTCTCAGTGCCCAGTGTTTTACCTCTCTTAGCACATAATCCCTTCATTCAAGTGAGATCTAAGGCCAATTGTCATCAGTGTCTCAGTACCTTTCTTTCCTCCCACAGGAATTATTGATGTGTCAAATCCTATTTCTGCTCTCTTCTCCATGTAAAAGAGAAGAAACTTGTTATTTCTTACTTAAAATGTTGTGTTAGTTGATAATCAAAATATAGTAAAAATGCTTTAGTATTTTGTCAGACTCCCTCTGTAATCCAGATCCTGCTCTTATGAATTCTTACCACTCTTGCCTCAGTCAGATGTGATGTGCCATGTTCTTTTCATCTTCTGTACCTTCTTGTAACTGATTGTCTGCTTGGGATTCTTCTAATCTTTAGGACTCAGTTTTCCTATCACTTCCTCCCTGAAGTGCTCCTTGATCAGGCAGACCAGTACAATCTAGATCTTAAATTTCTCTTTTTGTAATATCAAGGCATGTTGCAAAACTGGTGTCTTGACTCCCTTTCTGGGATGTCAAGTTAATATCCCTTAAAAGAACAAAGTAGCTACTGTTTACTAAAATAATATCTGAGAAATGTATTTGTTTTTAAGATATGATCAATAACTTCAGTTCCTCTGTCTCTATTTTAGGTAATGGAACTGCTGGTCCATCTGAATAAGCGTATAAAAAGCCGCCCCAAAATACAGCTCCCAGTGGAGACACTACTGGTTCAATACCAGGACCCTGCTGCAGTTTCCTTTGTCACAGTGAGTGCTGTTTGGAGTTTTCTTTCATAATATTTATCATATGTCACCAGTATATTGGCAAGCTTAGAATTTTACTGTAGGCCACTTCTAAGTAAAATATGGGATATTTTTCTTTAAATGACACACTGAGTGCTGATCCAAAGGAAATACTGCTTTAAAAGAAATGGCAGGAACAAGGTAATGACCATTTGCTTGGGGCAAAGAATTGTTGGTGAAATGACTTGTCAGGTATATTGATACATAAAAGAATGATTTCACATATAGAATCTAAAAAAGTTGATTTTATTGAGGGTAGAATAATGGTTACTAGAGGCTGGGAGAGTAGGTGGGGAAGAGGGAAGGGGAAGTGATGGATCACTGGGTACAAAATTTCAGTTGGAGGGCTGGGGATGTGGCTCAAGTGGTAGCGCGCTCGTTTGGCATGCGTGTGGCCCGGGTTCGATTCTCAGTACCACATACAAACAAAAGATGTGTCTGCCGAAAAATAAAAAATAAATATTAAAAAATTCTCTCTTCTCTCTCTCTCGCTTTAAAAAAAAATTTCAGTTAGAGCAGAAGAAGTTCTGTTGTGCTTGTTGCACTAGCATGCCTGTTGACATCAGTAATGTACTGTGCATTTGAAAAGGGTAGAAGAGAGGATTTTGAAGGTTTCACTATAAAGAAATAGTAAATGTTTGAGGACATAGATATATTTAATCTGATATAAACATACAGTGTATACATTATTTAAACATCATGGTACTCCATTGAATCTTAATCTGACATCAGGAGTTGCAGAACTTTCGGAGCCACTTAATGGTCTAGACATCTTGCCTGTGCCTGTTGTGGACATATCATTCCATTACATATGTCCCTTTCTTTAAGCAAATGGAAACACTGTGTCAATAAACCTGTCAAATAAGAAGGTATTTAAAGCTTGTTCATTTTAATGAAGAACCTTTATAAAAGCAAATCTTTATGTGTAAATATAGATATGTATCTAGGAATTTGCTTCAAATATGGCTTTTGCATGGATTATAGAGATAAAAACCTGCCCTCCTCTTCCCCTGGTTGATCATCCATTGTGAAGTTATTGGAGTGAGGAACCATGGAGTGCTGTAGTATCCTAACATTGTAGAAATTGACCATTTGGGAATTATAGCCTGGGATTTGTTAACACATGTTCTCCTAGCTTATAAGAATTAATGCAACAAACTGGAAGATCTGATGCTAATGTATGTATGTAGGTTTAGTTAGGTTAAATGATTGTAGTTTTTCTTCTTAGTGATAAGTAATTACATGCATGAGTGGCTTAGATTAAGTCATCTTCCTCACATGAAGCCCACCTTAAGGTGAGCAGTTTGAATACATTGGATTGAAATTTCTCCTCAGGTATAGTAGTTGGTCAAGCTTTAATAAATCTGGAGAAAGGATGATTAAAGTTTGTGGTTTTTTTTTTTTTTTTTGTAAACCCATAACTCTCTTTCAGCATGTGTTTTTGTTGAAATCATATTGTCTTCACTCTCACTTGCTTTTCTCTTCTTGCATTAGAATTTTACTATAATTTATGTGAAGATGGGCTATCCTCGCCTACCAGTGGAAAAGCAATGTGAATTGGCCCCTACGCTTCTTACTGCCATGGAGGGGAAGCCTCAGCCACAGCAGGATAGGTATGATTTCCTCAGTTATCTTATTTCCCACCTATAAGAATTAATAACAGCTTTTTAAATATAGGTTCATATTTGGTTTCACTCGGCAAATGGCAAGCTTGAGCTCTTTCAGCTGACGAATAGTTGCATTTTCTGTGGTACCTTACAGTTATTGTTTTACTATTATAAAATTTCTTAATGTGAACATTGAAAAAATGTGCAGGACTAATATATTTTTGTCAGTTGTTTTTAAGCAGTTAATTTTATGTGATGGTAAAAATTAGAGTTAAAAATCCTTCTCATCAAAACATTTTTATCTTGCCAGGCACAGTGGTGCATACTTGTAATCCTAGCGACTTGGAAGGCTGAGGCAGGAGGATCACAAGTTCAAGGCCAGCCTCAGCAACTTAGCAGGGCCCTAATGCAACTTAGCGAGACCCTGTCTCAAAAAATAAAAAGGAATAAGTCTGTGGCTCAATGGTTAAGCCCCCACTGGGTTAAATTTCTGGTACCAAAAAAAGAAAGGAGGGGGCTGGAGTCATGGCTCAGTGGTAGAGTGCTTGCCTGTCATGCACAGAGTCCTGGATTCAGTCCCCACCATTGCAACAATAACAATTTTAAGTTCACATTTATTTATTTGTTTTCATACTTTTGACAGTGTTGGAAATTGAACCCAGGAATAATTTATGAGCATATTCAATATTTCAATAAAAACTTTATTGAAAGAATGTGTTGTAATTAAGCTTTATCTAAGATTTAATGTAAATTCTGTTCTGATAATTTCATGTATTAACATTACAATTACTTTATGTACATTCTTTCCACATGCTTTAGCGCTGAGCCAAATTGGCGAAATACCAGTTACCACTCAGTGTACTGAGTTTTCAGTAAGAAAGAAATCAAGGCCAGTTCCTAGATTAGGACTTTATACATTAATATGTTGAAAATGAGTGACTCTAGCTGCAACCACCAATTTCTGTCATGTGATTTTTGTTTCATCTGTTATTTGCTTGTATTACAACCTTATTTTTTAAGTAGTTGCAATAAATATAATTGTTTTTTCAGCTTAATGCATCTTTTAATACCAACCCTTTTTCACATGAAATACCCTGTTGAATCATCAAAATCAGCTTCTCCGTTTAATCTTGCTGAGAAACCAAAGACTGTGCAGCTGCTTTTGGACTTCATGCTAGATGTCCTTCTGATGCCTTATGGGTGAGTTAAAAAATAATAATGAAACTAAGCAACTAAGCAGCCCATTCTTGATTCCATTTAACATGTGGAAATTAAGTGCTGTTTTAAGTGATCCAGCTCTCACTTGTAAATTGATACATATCAGATTTTTTTTTTTTTGCTCTTGTCCCAACCTTTTATAAACTCTAACTCCACTACTTATTGACCTTATGAATGCTGAGCTGCTGTCGTGATTTTAGATTCAAAATGTTCAAGCTAAAATTGCATTTTCCCCATAAAAATCTTTCTACTTTTTATGTTATTTTGGTGCTATGATGATTTTTCTAGCCATCTTAATATAGAATTATAAATCATCTTCATCTTTTCTTTTCCTTCTTGCTACAGTATCAGTTCCATAATACCTCCTTACTCCTTAATATTGTAGAACCATTTTCACTGCTATCATTTTGTTTTGGCTTTTTTCATTTCTTGTCACAGTTTCTTTCTTGTCAGCCACTCTTCTTAAAACCTCTCTACACTGATAGAAGTTAGAAGATAGAAGCAGATAGAAGTGCATTAGTTTTGTTTCCCCATAACATTAACTACCTACCTATATGACCACTTTGTGTTGTTATTATATTTTTAGTATTTAGTAGAATGGAAGCTCTTTTGTATTTAAGTTTTTTTTTTTTTTTTTAACCTGACTTTTGATCCTGACCTGGTATCAGGTTGTGGGCTGTTGCTAGCTTGTCTATTTTGTTATTGCTCCTTGCCCCTCTGCCTTGTAGAAATTGTGAATTCTTTTTAAATTAATTTTTAAATTGATTCTTTTTAGTTACATATTACATTAGGATATATTTTGACATAATCACAAAAGCATGGAATAAAATTTGCTCTAATTCAGTCCCCAGTCTTTACCCTTGCACTCCCTCCCCCTTGCTCATCGCCCTCTACTGATCTTTCCACAATTTATTAAATACACACACACACACACACACACACAAACACATTTTTTTTTAAATTAGTATCTTGGATATACTTGATGTTGGTTTCATTGTGCTGTATTCATGTATGTACATATGAAATTTTTGTCAGATTCATTCCACTGTTCTCTTTTTCTTCCTTTCTTGCCTTCATTTACTGATTTTTCCTCTGTTGATGAGAGATTCTCTCACTCTCCCCCTCCCTTATTCTCTGATACCTTACACATATCATAGAAAATATTTAACCTTTGGCTTTTTGGGACTGGCTTATTTCACCTAGCATGCTAGTCTTCCAGTTCTGGTCATTTCCTAGTAAATGTCATATTTTCTTTATGGTTAATACTCCCCTGTGTGTGTGTGTTTGTGTGTGTGTATCACTTTTTTTTTCCCATTTATCTTTTAAGGGCACCTAGGTTGGTTCTAATAGCTTGACTGTTGTGAATTGTGCTGCTGTGAACATTGATGTGGCTATGTCAATGTAGTATGATGATTTTAAATCCTTTGTATGTATACTGAATCGCATAGTTTCCGTTCTGAGTTTTTTGAGGACTTTCCATACTGCTTTCCTGAGTGGTTGCACTAATTTGCAGTCCCACCAACAGTGCGTGAATGAATCTTTTTCTACACTTTCTTGCCAAGATTTATTATTACTTGTAGTCTTGATAATTGTCACTTTGACTGGAGTTAGATGAAATTTCATGTAGTTTTGATTTGCAGTCCCCTAATTGCTATCATGATTCTTACCTCATCACAAGTATTATATGTGGTAAGCTTGGCATGGCTGCATATCATGGGTCCCTCAATCCAGAGATTCTGTCTGATTCCTTTCCTCTTCAATTTTGTCTTCTTTTGCTCCTTTACTTTGTTAGCTTGATTTTTCTGGGTCTTCAAACACTCCATGTTTATTCTCTCAATTTCTGTCATATCATTTCTCTGTGGTTTCTTTGTGTCTGATAATATATATGATAAATGATATGTGATAAATAAATGATAATATATATGATAAATGCTCTTCAACATGTTGTGTTGTCATTGTCTTGTCTTGTTCTATATGGCAGGGACTCAGTCTTGTCCCTTTTTCTATTCCTCAGGCTTGTGCTTAGAATTTGATGATTTGCAGAGTGTTATATGTTCAGTACTTACTGATTGATTTACTTAATGCCACAAGTCTTGCTAGGACCTAGAAATAAACGAAAGCCTCCTTTTGTATTTGTTCAATAAGGAGGCATCCAGAATTGACAGATGATGATGGCTTTGGTATATAAACCTTGAAATCCAAATATAAGTTAGGAACATGATTTATCAAAGCTAGTGATTCCTCACATTTTCTTACTGATGAGAACTTGCCTCATATATATAAAATACTAAAGTGATTCCCTAGTAGATTTAAAAAGTAGATGAATTTAGGAATTGAAGTGAATATGTCCTATAAGTAATGTGAAGTAATTTAGAGTTGAAGGACTTGAATTAATATTTATACCAATATTTTATGTTGTACTTGAGGAATACTCGTTTAATTGGATCAAAATGAATTTATCAGAATTTATTTCTACTCTTTATAAACTAGAAAGAAATAGGATGATAAATTAATATTAAGAACATGTAAAATGCTTTAAACATATAATGGACAAGTATATTTTTTAAATGATTTTTCCTCCTTGAACCACCTGCTTTCTTTTTCTTTCTTTTTTTTTTTTTTTGCTTTTGGAGTCTTAGGTGATTATATAGTAGGGGTTTGGAGTTTTTTGTAGGTATATAAATCATTCAGGGAGAATTGAAAGGTGAATTTACAACTTAGCAGAAATGAGAAATGTGTGTGTAAAATTACTCTCTATTTGGCCTCTGCCCACCACCAAGAAACCTGTGTCTCTATTTGTCAACTAAAATCTCAAAAGGCTTGAATCCATAGTGACTCACAGAACAATAATAGATTAAGAGTGAGCAAAATATTTTTATTGTTGATAACTGCTGTAGTTAATTTATAATCAGGTTGAATGAAGTACTCTTCTTGTTAATTTGCTGAAAATGTAGATACCTTTTCTTAGATACCAATAAAAGTATGATAAATTTTTTATTTCAGATGTTTATTCTTCTAGAAACATGGGAGGACAGTATATGATTGAATGTCATATATGTGGATAGATGTATATATATATATATATACACACACAAATGCATGTGTTTTTATAGAGCATTAAAGTTTTATTTCCTTTCCAGATATGTGTTAAATGAATCCCAGAGTCGCCAAAATTCATCTTCAGCACAGGGTTCTTCTTCAAACAGTGGGGGAGGTTCTGGAATTCCACAGCCTCCCCCAGGAATGAGCTTTTATGCAGCTAAACGAGTTATTGGTGATAACCCATGGACACCTGAACAGTTGGAGCAGGTATCACACACTGCTCATCATGGGACTTGACCTTGTACACTTGCCCCTATGAAGTTCATGGAAGCATGTGTGACATAATTCCAGTATATTCAGGCTCTCTAATGAAATATGTTTGAAAGGAGCAATTGTGTAATGTGTTCTTTTCATCATGTCAGTTATTTGTTAAAGCCTGGGAAAGGGAGGAGTGGGAAATGCTTTTAAATTTTTCTTACATTGTTCACATATTTCAAGAATCAAGCACAGCCTATTTATAAATTGAGTATACTTAATTTCTGTCACTTTAGTTTATAATTATAGGCTTAATAATTATCTAGCTCCTTTGGTGCAGTAAAAGTGCAGTTTATCTTATCTTATTCAGCTTTTTAGGATGTACATTTTGTGTAAAGTGAGGAACTCCTGTGCTTCACAAGTGACAATGTGGGGGAAAAGCATGACTCCCTTTTATATTTCTTCCTGGGAATTTAAAAATTGGCATTAAGAATTTTATTCTGGATTTAAACAGGACACAGATGTTCTCTGAGCAGCTTTTAAAAATGACTGGTGCTCTACAGAGAAGGTGCCTCACTGTGTCTGTGTCATCAGGCACCTCAGGGAAGAACAGATGAGATCAGTATGTAATTATTTTGGAATTCAAGCAACATGGGTTAGTCTTCTAATCCTTCCTTTATTTCTCCATGGCAGTCTCAATGATTTGATCCTTTTCTTTTTGGGAATGTAAGTGACCATTTATCAAAACAGTGTTCCCAGGAGAGGGAAAAAGAGGCAAGTGGGGCGTTCTTGAAACTAGCAAATTCATAGAATGTTTCATTCAGTGAGGATTATAATTGATTAGATTTACTTTATGTTTTATACACATCTCTCTTTTTTTTCTTTGTTTTTTTTTTTTGTATCCTTAAACCCCCATGTAAGGTAAATAGTAACAGAAGCTACACTTTACTAGTATGATATGTGACAGGCACTATACTACTTTGAATACATTATCTCATTTAATCCTCACAGCAACCCAATGAGTTATAGAAATTATTATTTCCAATTCTAAAAGGCAATAAGTTTTTGAGATTCACTAAGGTCTCACTTGTGTTACTAGGCTTCGAATCTATGTCTAGGCGTTACAACTACAAATTCTGGAGAGTAGTTTTTAATGTTCACTTGTAATCTTAATGCTGGTCATTAAGAATTAAAAGAGCTTTTGTAAATGCATTTTTGTCAATTTCACATCCTACTGTTGAAATAGTTTTAATATTTTCTTCTAATTTTTAAATACCTTTTGTTTTTTCTAAATAAAACAGCTTTTAAGCTGGGTGCAGTGGCATGGGCCTGTAATCCCAGAGACCCAGGAAGTTGAGGCAGGAGGATCTCAAGTTCGAGGCCAGCCTCAACAATTTAGCAAGACACTGTCTCAAAATAAAAACTGAAAAGGGGTATGGATGTAGCTAAGTGGTAAAGTGCCCCTGGGTTCAATTCCAAGTACCACAACAAAACAATCCCCTCTTGCAACCTACCAGCTATTATTTTTGTAATTTTAAAGTTAGAAGTCTAATGAGTAAAAAATCATATAGGTTTGGGATGTTGCTCAGTGGTGGAATACCTAGCATGCATAGGACTCTGGGTCCTTCTTCCCTTTTTTTAATCCTCCGGATTTGCTTTTTCCATAGCAAAAAGGAAAAAAAAAATGTATAAAGGAAAGTTAAAAATTATTTGAAATCTTGCCACCCTAGTTTGTCATTCATCTACAGCTTGTTCTCTGTGTTTGTATATAAATAGTTTTACACAATACATGTTTACTCACCATTCACATAATATTTATAGTTTTCTTTTATCATTTTATGGTGTTCAGGTTAAAAAAAAGTCCATCCTTTTGAATATTTCTATAGAATGTAATTACATGTAATATTTTTTAACTAGTCTCCCATTCATGTACATCTGTGTCATTTTCAGTTTTCTTAAACACGTTTTTATTTATATTTTTGTGTACTCAACTTTCATAGATTTTTTTTAATGACTTATGTAAAATGAGTCTTTTTTAGCTCTTGTTATAAGTTGTGTTTAGTAGAGGAGTGAAGGCATCATTTTATGATTTTTTTTACATCATTTTAAATGTAGCTTTTCTTGTTTAATAAGTGTAAATTTACCAATCCCAATCACTTATATATGAGCTATTATGTAATTATTTTTTTAAAAATGAAGGGATATGGCTTAGTGGCAGAGTGCTTGCCTAGCGCATGTGAGGCACTGGATTTGACCTTCAGCACCACATAAAGATAAATGAATAAAATAAAGGCATGCTATCCATCTTAAAAAAAAATGAAGATGAAGTTTTACTTTTCATGCATTTTAATCCTGGAGTTATTTTATAGTGAAATTTATAGCTCCTTCACATTGCATATAGTTCTAAGCAGTTCCTTTCTTTAGTCTGTGTTTCATTTCAGTCATTCAATTTGATTGAATACTGTCTGGGTTTTTAGTATCTAAAAATATAGAGGACAAAATTTGTATGTTAACAGTAGAGTGGAGTTCTATAGAATGTGAGTTGTTTAGTACTCTTTGAACTATTATAAAAATTCATGGAGCACTTTATTCTTAATGTACTACCCTCTTACCTGGAGGCCCCAGAAGTGGACTTTAAAGCTTCATCATTCTAGGGAGGCTGCATAACCTCAAGTGAAGCTGTGTATCATAATAGTTTTGTAGTCAAATAGACTTTGATTTGAATCTTGCCTTCATTACTGTGTGTCTTGATCTCTTTTGTCTTGCCTCAGTTTTCTTACCTGAAAAGTATATAGAGTAGCATCTATCTCATAGATTGGGAGGGTTAAATGAAATCATGAATATATATGATTTAGTACAGTCCCTGGCACATTATAAACCTAAATAGGAGCTCCTACTATTGTTACTATTAATCCTTGGTTTGTGACCACACTGATAGTTAAACATTGTTTTTAGTGGGTGTAATTTGTTTCCCTGACCACGATTTCTTCTTCCCTTCATTTATCTACAGTGCAAATTGGGCATTGTGAAATTCATAGAAGCTGAACAGGTGCCTGAACTTGAAGCTGTTCTCCACCTGGTGGTTGCTTCTAGTGACACACGTCACAGTGTGGCAACAGCGGCAGACCTCGAATTGAAAAGCAAGCAAAGGTAACTAAACTTTTCAAAATTGAAAGGACCAAATTTCAAAAAATTTTACACATATTTGTTCTTTTAAGTTGTTAAGGAATGCAGTATTTAATTTAGGATATTATGAAGTATACTATTAAGTAAAGTTTATTGAAGAGCAGAATTCTGAGTAAGACAAAAAAGAAAGCTGTTTAGAGATAGAATTTAAGCTTGAGTAGGTTAGGAATGTCATGAAATAGGACTTTTAGCTAGGTTAAGATCAAAAGGAATTTTAAGACATGTTAGATGCAAGAAGTGATTTTTTTTTTTCTGTTTTCTGGTTTAACAGTTGGGTTATTTTAAATAAAGAACATGTATATTATGGCTATACATTGAAAATAATGTTCATGAAAAGAGTTGCTGAATAGATCCTAATTTACACAGGAGCAGATACAAAAAGTAACTAGACTTGTAGGAAATTTTTGGTATAAGAAATAAAATCAAGACAGAATAAAAGGAATTGTGAAAATTATCCTCATTGGTTAACTATTACCAAGTGTTTCTTTGTTTTGTAAAAAAATGTTTAAATCTGAAATATTATAGAAGGGAAATAATGGTCGGGCTCAAGGATTAATTAGTAGCAGTTAGCTGAGAAAAGATGTAGGTGAATCATGCCTAAGCTAGAATTGTAGAACATCTTTGCTAATAGTAGATTGTGAATAGCTGAGAAGAAGCAGATTGATAAATTGTGAAATAAGAGGTGGATCAGAAAAGTAGTTGAAGCAGCATAATAAATTGTGTTTGCACAAATAAGGTATACCAATAAGGTAAATAAAATAAGGCAAATAAGGCAAAACCAATGTGAGAAGGTAGAGAGAAGATGGTGTGGTAAAACTTGACCCAGGCAAGTGAGAGGAAGATTTGCACTATTGCTAGATTTTTTTAAATGATTGGGTGAAGTCTGCTGTGGAATAGGGGTGGTGGTGGTAATCTTCATACATCATAATTCATGTTTTTGTGGAGCACAGGTAGGAATAAGTCTTCATGACAAATGGCAACATGATTGCTCTGTAGAGTTAGGTGCTGAAGCTGCAAATGTGTACTGATAGGTAAGGGAGAAAGGAGTGCTGGGAATCAAATGATGCAATATTAGAGAAATATGGTGGCTTACAAGCTTCCCAGGGTGTGACTTCAATGGGAAATTTTTTTTTTCACTTTTGATTTTTTTGATTCTTTTCTGTAGTTAAACAGAAAAGAATTTTTTCCTTGTCCCAGGGCTTTTGAACAAGTGTAGTGCATAGTCTTCTAGGTTGAGCTGCTCTATGACATTGGCTTTTAAGAGGTAATCTACAAGAATACACTCTACTCTTCTTGTGTGGTACCAGATTGGGCTATTAAATGCAATAATCTGTTGAATGAAGGTGGGATAAGTGATCTATATTTCTTCTAAGCTATCTTTGATAAGAGAGTCTCTCCATTTCCTCTCTTCTACAGTGTTGATTGTCATTTTATTTGTATGTTTGTAACATTTTCCTTTGGTAACAAGTGTTGGGGTTATAGTTTTTAAAAAATTATTGAAATGGGAAGAAAAATAATTTTAATACCTTATATCAAAACCTTTCATAGCTTAATTGACTGGAATAATCCTGCCATCATTAATAAAATGTACAAGGTATACCTTGGAGATATACCACTGAAGACAAAAGAGGTAGGTTGATTGATTTATTCTCCCATCAACATAAAAAGCATTTTGTTGACATGATTTCTTTGTGTTTTCTTCTAGTTACTTTGGTTTAAGCTAAATCTATATTAAATACTAGTTTAAGCCATCCTAGTCTAGGTGAAATCTCCTAGTAACTTAGTTTAAGATCTGGTGGTTTTTTTTTTTTTTTTTAATATATATTTTTTAGTTGTAGATGGACACCTTTATTTTGTTTATTTTTAATTTTTATTTTGTTTGTTTATTTTTATGTGGTGCTGAGGATCGGACCCAGTGCCTCACACATGCTAGATGAACACTCTACCACTGAGCCACAGCCCCAGCCCCATCTGGTGTTTTTAATGTAGACATATCAATAATCATGATGCATTGTCTAGTTTAGGGATCAGCAAACTTTTTCTGTTACTTTGCAGACCTTACATAAGGCTACTTACCTCTTGTAACATGAAAGAAGCAGTCTGATACATGTAACTGAATGAGCATGGTTGTGTTCCAATAAAACACTTGGATACTGACATTTGAATATCATATAGTATTCATGTATTATAAAACTTGATGCTTTTTTAAAAAAACTATTTAAAACATAAAAGTGATTCTTGAGTCATAGGCAATTATCAAAATAAATGATGTGCCAGATTTGGCTTATGTGCTTGCTCACCCCTGGCCTAGAATCTAGAACAAAAGATGGGTTCTTCTGCAGTTTTAAGGTAAGATTTTAGCTTAATGACATAAGTTTATACCACGTTTAAAAGTGTTGCAAATCCAAACCTAGACATACAAGGTTGATTTGTTTGCTTTCTTACTTCGACCACTGAGCCACATTCCCAGCCCTATTTTGTATTTTATTTAGAGACAGGGTCTCACTGAGTTGCTTAGCACCTTGCTTTTGCTGAGGCCGGCTTTGAATTCGCGATCCTCCTGCCTCAGACTCCGAGTTGCTGGGAATTCAGGTGTGCACCATCACACTCGGCTTTACTTTCTTGCTTTTTAAACCATAGCTAGTCGTTTTAAAAATCATGTTAGCTCTATTTAGATTAAATTGAATCTGGTGCAGCAGAACTATGAATTGAGACCCCTGAGTTCCAGCCCTGAATGGCTGCATGTGACATGTTGGGTAAAGTAGCTCATCATAGAACTTCTCTGGGCATCATGTTCCTTATGTAGGAAGATTAGATTACTGGTTCTCAGAGTGTACCATGGACTTTTGGGGTCACAGGGATTTTTAGGGGTTTTCAAAGACAAGAGATCGTTTGCTATATTTTTTTGTGTGTGATGATACAAATGATGGATGTATGTGCTGGGATCCTCCCATAAATCAAAGGAATACCATGTAACCAAACAACACTAGCAGCCATTCTGATCTTCACTGGTAAACACTGATGGTTAAAAAAAAAGGAAAGGAGAGAGAGAATAAAACTCAGTTTTACTTAAGAATATCCTGATGAAGCAGTAGAAATTGTTTTGCTTCTATAGTTATTGAGATAGGTATTTGGCAGATATTTTCTCTAAAAGGAAAAAAAAAAAAATGAAGTCCCTTCAAGGAAGGCAAATGATTTTTGGGGAATGATAAAAATTGAGCTTTCAAGGAAAAATTAGAATTATGGGAAACTTGAACTCACCACAATGACTTAGCTTATCAATACTTGGGGCTTTTTCCTGATGAAATTGGTGTTATATGAACATCTGATTTTTTGAGTGTGTGTCATATGATGAAACATTAGCTTAACTCAGTGAGTCAGTATATTCCAGATAACCAATGCTGTTAGAAAAATATACAGATGTAAGGGAGTTATTCAAAGTGCAAGATAGACCATGTAATTTATGATATGTAAAAGCTCACTGATTTGGCTTGAGCTCCAAATTAAAGCTAACTTTAAAAAAATTAAAAAAAATATATATTTTAGTTGTAGATGTACACAATATCTTTATTTAATTTATTTATTTTTATGTTGTGCTGAGGATCAAACCCAGTGCCTCACATGTGCAAGGTGAGCACTCTACCACTGAGCCAGAATCCTACCCCTAGAGCTAAGTTTTATTTATCAAGTTTTGGTACAGTGTCAAAAAATATCCATAATTACCTGAAGAGGTTAAAATAATCCCCACATTTCTCATTATATTCATGCAAGCTGGATCTTATTATATACTTCAACTAAAATAACCTATCACAGCAGACTAAGTGCAGAAGAATACATAAGAATCCATTTCTCTTCTAGTAAAATGGCTGTTGAAGATGTTTGCAAAAAGTGTAAACAGTGCTACTCCTTTGGTGTAGTGTTTTTGATAAAATAGCTATTTTTCTTAAAAAAGTTTTTTAAGAAAATATATAATGAGTTCATTAATGTTTCTGAGTAAATAAACATTTTAAAAAATTTTCGGTTTTAATATATAGTAAATGCTGACAGGTTATACTGATGGAAATAACACTTTTTTTTGAGTCGTTAGTATAAGATGATAAATGATTTTGAAATGCTGACTTATAATTATACATATTTCTTACAGGGAGCAGTTCTGAAGCCAGAGCTGAAAAGGGACCCAGTTAGTACTAGAGTCAAGTTAAAGATTGTCCCTCATCTCCTTCGCTCTAGACAAGCTGCTGAAACTTTCCCAGCTAACATTCAGGTAATTTATTTCTTTCAGAGCAAAATGTCCTCAGGTCTTTTTAATTAGAGAAAGAACTCTGTTAAGGGATATTCAAGAGGTACGTTGATATATAAAAAAGATTAATGAGACTCTATCTTTTTTTCCTATCTTAAACTTAGCTATAGAAATGATTTTTTAAAAACTTCAAAGTATATATTCTACATATGGTTTCCATTCATCCTAAATGTATGGTGACATTCCTCTTCAAACAGTGTGTGTGTATGTCTCTGTGTGTGTGTGTGTGTGTTTTCTCCAAAAATGGTACCATCAGAAATTCAAGTCACTAAAGTGAATGAACTATATCATCCTTACCTGAAGCCTACATGAAGGCAATGGCCAATTCCTCCTGATTTTGTCTTCCTAATGTTTTCATCTTTCCTCTATACCTAATGCTAAAATGAATACAGACTCTTCTTTTTTTGGTTATTGCAGAATTCTTCTATCCTCTTCACTTTAGTTTGGTTCATTGTCAGTTTTTTCTGTTATCACCAGAGTTATCTTTGCAATTGGAAATCCTTGTTGGTGAAGTTTGCAGGTTCATTTACAAAAGACCTTGCTTTGGGGCTGGGGTTGTGCTCAGAGGTGGAGCACTCACCTACCATGCGTGAGGCACTAGGTTTGATCCTCAGTGCCACATAAAAATAAAATAAAGATATTGTGTCCACCCATAACTAAAAAAA